CACCAGGCTTTGGTGACTGATCCCTGCAGAGGTGGGCCTGTTCCCTGGTCCAGCCGAGGACCGTAGATGTCCCCTCATAAGCCAAGCAGACTCACGTTTTACAGGTGAGGGAGAAGGAGGGGCTCTGAGGGCTTGTGCAACCTGCCCAAGGTTATGCTGCTTCTGAGTGCCTCTCAGCCACCCCGGAAGATGACATCATCATTGCTCGTCCTTAAGCACAAGGACGCTGACGTGTTCTCCACGATTTCTGGGCCTTAAGTAACCACGTTGGTGGGGCTGAGCTGAGTTTGGCATGAGTCAGGTCCACATTCTGCAGAGAAGGAAGAGGCCCAGAACCTTGACCGAATGAGCCCAGAGGTGGGATGAGGATAGGTGCCTTCACCGCAGGTCCCAGTCACAGGCTCAGTAAATCTTGCAAAGACATCAATCTAAATGCAATCACTTAAAATGCCAACTATTTTTTTTTAACTTTACTTTCAGTTCTTTTAGGGAAGTATGCATGGAGAATAGCCTGCAGATAGTAAGCATTATAAACTACAATTAAAGAGTTCGCTGTAGCAAAGGGAATGGATGTGGTGGAGGCCTAGAAATTGACTTACGTTCAAGAAAATTTAGGGGGGACGTGAATTCTTTTTAGTGGAACAACTGGCTAGCTGTTTTGCCAAAAACTAACCGGGATCTTACTTCCTTGCAATAAAATTCTAGATGGAGCAAAGGTTTTGAGTATGAAATGAAGCCTTGAAAGTATTTGAAATGATTTAAAAGATAATCTGGGAGGAGGGAAGACCTTTCTAAGTGGGACATCTACCAACAACTTGGACTATGAAGAATTAGAACTTACATACAGCAAAACACCAAGGCAAGAGATTTATAAGCTGCAAACTGGGGGAGATGTTGAAACATAGGAAATAAAAAGGGCTATTTTCCCTAATATGCCAAGTTCTTAAAATCATGAAAAATGAGCAACTCAGTTCATAAAAAGGCAAAGAATATAAACAGGCAGTTCACAGAGAAATACAAATGGATCATAGCTAAACATGAAAAGATGTTTTATTACTGTTATGTAGAAAATACAAAACAAAAGAGAAACATTTTTGCAGGGATGGTTCATTTATTTTATGGAGCAAAACATTTAAAGTAGACAATGTTATATGTAAACCACTAGTGTGTAAGTTGTGAAGCACAATATATTTCATTTAATTCAAATAACTAAAACTTTTATTTCTTAACCTATCTCACTGACTAGGACCTCTGGTACCATGGGGATAGTCACAAATCTTATCCTTGATTTTAAAGAGAATTCACCTTGAGTATAGTTTTAGATATTGGGAGGAAATACTCTTTTTAAGGTTAAAGCAGTTGTCTCCTATTTCTAGTTTTCATTTTTTAATCAAGGATAGTTGTTTAATTCTTTTATCAAATGTTTTCTTTATTGATATGATCACATGTTTTTCCCCTTTAACTTGTTAATGTGGGAACAACATTAATAACTCATTTGGTCATGATGTGTTCTCTTGTTTCTATACTATTGGGTTCTGTTTGCTGATATTTTCTTTAGCAGTTTTGGATACATGTTTATTAGTAAGGTTGGCCTGTAATTTCCCTTTCTCACACTCTCCTTTTCAGCCTTTGTGTTATTAGAATAAGTTGGGGAGACTGGTTTTGTGGTTTGGTTTGGTGCAAGTTTAATAATAGCCAGTCTTCTCAAGTATGTACAAGCCCTCTTGTACCAATGGCAGTAAATTGGTGACAAAAATCAAATTTTAAAATGCAATGGGTTTGACCCAGCAATTTCACTGCTAGGAATTTATCCTATGGATATACTCAAACAAGTTTACAGAAATATAGGTGGGTACAAGGATATTTATTGTTGTAATAGCACGAAACTAAAAACAAAACTCCCTCAACTGGGGACTTATTTTTAAAGTGCATATTTGTTGCCATTACAAAGAATGAAGTAGCTCTAATTTGTGCTGATGTGCAAAGTTCTCCAAGATCTATAATTAGGGTAAGCCCAGGCCAGTGTGGCTCAGTTGGTTGAGCATTGTCCCATGCACCGAAAGGTCACCGGTTCGATTCCTGAGCAGGGCACATACCCAGGTTTTGGGTTCGATCCCCAGTCCGGGTGCATAAGGGAGGCAACCAATCGATGTTTCTCACATCAATGTTTCTCCCTCTCCCTCTCTCTCTCTCTACATTCAATTAAAGAAACATATCTAATTAGGGTAAAGTAGTTGGCAGAGCAAGAATAAAATATATATCCCATTTGTGAATTTTCTGAAAGATAGCTCTATGGATGTGCGTGTACTGCTTCTGGAAGGATACTCCAAACCATGTAACAGTCATCTCTGGAGGGCAGGGATCTGGAGGCCTCTATTTCTCCTGTGAAGAAGATGCATTCTCTTTAGAGTTTAAGTGTGTGTGTCTCCGTGTATAGTGTATATGTATCCCCTGCAGCCAGGATGAAGGAGGCCTGCTGGCTGAGGAAATGTCCTCACTGTCAGCTAATGGCACCTTGTCACCCAGTTCCCCTCTGGCCCTTGTGGTCTGTCACTGATCCTAGACAGGAAGCCCTATATTAGGCCCAGGTTTGGCCTGAAAAAATAGAGCAGTTGCAAATGTTAAGTTGACATAAATAGGAGGCTCTGTAACCGCCTGTGGATGTTGCTATGGAAACTGGAGTCTGGGCAGTCTCCATGGAAACCGTTCTCAATTCTCTGCCTGAAGGAGTTGCCACCCACGGGTGTTGAAATCTTACTTATCAGGGACCTTAGAGCTTGAATAAATGCTTAGGGAGGGAATGGTGGGATGGCCCCTGCTCACCCAGGTGGGCTCTCGGCACCACCAGCTGCTGCTGGAGAAGGAGGAAGAGCCACCATCCCCACAGGAGGTGCCCTTATGGGGAAGCAATGTATTCAGTGTCCCCGGAGGGAGGAGGGCCCGTGTCTGGAGGTCCGGGCACCTGGACTCTGCCACTGACCACCGGTGTGCTGTATAGCGGTGGTGGACTAACGCTGGGTCTGGGCTCCAGCCCCCTCTGTAAAATGGAGAGCTGAGGCCAAGTCGTTCTGAAGGTCTTTTCCAGCTTTGGTTTGCATGTGGCCTGATGGCATGGGGCTCAGAGGCGGGGGGCACCGGACGGTGGCCAGGGCAGTCTTCCTGGGATCACCTGAGCTTCGAAGGCTAGTGAGGAGTGGCAGAGGTGGGAGATGCAGCAGGAAAGAGCAGCATGCCCTCCATGGGCCAGCGGACAGAGCGTGGCTTGGGGTCTGGAAGGGAGGTTTGGAGTCCAGGGCTGGAGGTACCAGGGATGTGTGGTGCTCTCCCAAGACTGTGGGTCCAGAGCACCAGTGACGCCCTGACACTGCTGGCATCTCCTTGGCCCTGCTGTGTGTCGCACATGCTCAACTGCCAGAACACAGAGCAAGAGACGTGAGAGCAGACAAAGGCCGTGGTGCCAGCCTCCCACCTGTGAGACAAAGCGCCTTCTCACTGGAAGTAACATGTCGGGTCCAGCCCCACTGAAGCGAGGGCTCTGGGCACCTAACCGAGGACTGAGAAGGGTGGTGGGTAGCAGTGTGCTAATGGCGGGCAGGGAGGGAGGGGCAGGGAGGGAGGAGGGTAGGAGGGAGGAAGGGAGGATAACCTAGACCAGCATCCTTGTCCAACATTTACTGATGGGGACCCACTCTTTTCAAGCATTTGCCAGGGGCTTTCATTGATTTCTTTTGTTTATGTCTTACATTATCTCTAGGGTAGGTATGAATTTCATAACCACAAACTCAGGCATGCAAAAACTCTTATTTTTTTTTTATATAATAATCTATGTTGTATAAAAACCTAGTTTTCAATTCCCCATTTAGTCTGGTGACAGAAAATGTTATCTTGGTCATTCTGGGGTAAACTACAGTTTTAAGCTCAATCAATTAATGGTTCACCCTTTTAGTAGATGTTCATTTCTGCCTCCTGCCCCAGGGCCCTGTATTTGGGGTCTTCCCTACAGTGGGTCTTTGATGGGAGATAGCGGCTGCCTCCTAAAATGTTTATGAATACGTGGAATGGGGGCTGTGAAGACCAAGCCACCCAGCATCCTGTGGGCAGAAGGAGGTGGGGGTACCTTTTCTGTGGTTCCGTAGCATTCATTGAATCATTGGTTCCCTTTGTCGGCCCCCAATTGCTGGCACTATTTCTCCAGCCCAGCAGTGGTGCTCTGAGCTCCCCAGTGTCCTGTCAATAACGCCTTTCCTCCTAGGTTAGCCAGAATGCTTCCTGTTACTTGAGTCACCATTTTAGCAAGCTCGAGTACCTTGTGATCAGAAAACAACTTAATCCTTTCTTCCCACTTCCTTTTCAGAACCTGTTCAGTGGGGTTGGTTCTCACCCAGCCTTGAATGAAATCTAAGGTAGATTTCTTGGGGTTTTGGGGGGGTCCATCCAAGATCATAAAAA